CCGCGATCCCCGACTTGGAGATATTTCGAACGGCTATTGCCTACGGTGATGCTGGCACCTCCGAAAATAACGGGGGTTACTTATCGAGAATTCCAGCTACTTTTCTCATAGGATACTCCCTAGACGAGGATTTCGATGTCGATCGAGTTACTGTATGTGTCTCTGACGCTTGCTGCACAGGGATCGCAGGCACAGTAATTACCGGCGGTCGCGCATACTGGTTTATGATGCAGCTACCAGACCCCCTCAATTCGCCATTGTCGGATCTTATTCAGCCGGCAAACGCAGTTAAGTGGAGCCATCGGGACATGGCACCCCTGGAGCTGTTGGCGTGCTACTGTTGCTGTCTATTGGCGCCAAACGACCGGCCTGCTATATTTTTGTGCGACAATAAGGCATGCGTCGATTCTCTCAACGCACTGTCTTGCAAATCACCCCGAATGAAGGCAGTCATGCTCCAAATTTCGAGGGCCTGGCGCTATGGGAGAGGTCTCCGGGCCTTTCACCTCGACAGCAAGTCCAACTGGTTGGCCGATGATCTGTCGAGGATGCACTCGCCTCAACAGGCCAGAGAGTATATGAAGGGGTCTACGATGACCGAGGTTGACATGGCCCTTCTACTTCAGAGTCTCCCACGATGAACTATGGCCCATACAGGCTATATGGCATATGAATCATATGATATGATATAGTGTTTCCGTTACTATCACGTTTCCGATCTCGAAACACGTTGAGTTCGAAGTATACCGTTAGAAGTAGCTTGACAAATGGGGGGAAACAAGTGATAATTCGACTTGCTAGTATACATTCTGTGTCCACCGCTATACATGGCAGTTCCAACGTGGGTCCTACAATCACTCAAGCGGAAGGCGGATGCCCTGCTGACGAATACTACTCACGAACCGTCCCGACGTCAGCCACGTACGGAAAAGGAGTCCGACTCCGTACTATGCCGATGTGGATCAACCACAAGCAGTGATAAGCGGATAGGAGATAGAAAAATGCTGGATTTCCTGATCAAAGCCAGGGCCGATAGTACGCAACAACAATATGCATCAATCAAACGCGGATACGAAGTGTTCGTGTCACACAACGGATCTTCCCCAGAAGAAGCATTCCCATTGGAACCACACATGCTAGTCCGCTACGCGGCCTTTCTCTGTGAAGCCAACTCCGAAAAGACCCGCAAGGGTTATGCCGGCAGTACTATCAAGAAATACATCGGAACCTTGCTGGTCATGAACAGACTACACCCCCGAGCGAGACTCATGACAGTCATGGAGGAAGAAATCATCAGACTCGCTAAACAAGCAGTTGACAAGATCAAGGGCAAGGCACCTCCCCAACGAGCCTGCACACTCACCGCCGAACAGGTGAAGACTGTTTCGCGCTTAACTCCAAGATCTCGCCGAACGAGTAGTACAGTATGTATCCTGGTCAGCATATGTGCTCTACTGAGAATACGGGAAGCCTCAAGTCTCAGGTGTGAGGACATAGCCTTCCAACCTGATATGGTAAGGATACGTGTGAGGAAGAGCAAGACGTCCACTGCACCCCAATGGATCACCGTTGGGTGTGCATGCCCACAAGGTACAGATA